GAAACACATTAATTAATACAAATCAGAATATAGTATTGCTTATTCTGTAACTGTATGGTATGCTGGTGTTTTGTTTTTTAATGGCTACCACTTACTAATAATAGTTCCATTAATAATGTCGATATCACAACATTTAAAATACACGCACAATATTAATACAAATCAGAGTACGATATTGCTATAGCATGTTATTGCATGCTATGCTCACATTTTGACTGTTCAAATGCAGACTTTTATTTAAGGCTGCCACTTACCAACCAACGGAACTCCTATGCATGCGCCAACACCAAAAGAAGTATCAACCCAAGCAATTCCAAATGAGAAATCATCACTCACAGACTTCACAAGGAGTGGTGTGATTGCACTGTACCAACCCATAGAAAAACCAAAAAAAACCATCGCCACATAAACAACGTTAGCAGTTTTCGTTATACTGCAAATTAGTAATGACAGAAATGAAAAGAAATAAGTGAGTTCTAGTTGGATAAGCAAATCGTTTAAAACGAATTTGCTGACAATATACTGAAAAGATTTTCCGAAAATACTACTTGCTCCGTAAGCTGTCAAAATTAACTGGCTGCTATGTAGACTAGCGCCTCGCTCTAGCATGTCATCCGGCATAATAACTTCGATTCCTTCCTCAGTTGCTCCTTGTATTAATGCAATGATAACAAGCATGACAAAAGAATGTTTCTTAAACAAACGCAAATGACATATTTCGTAAATATACTGCAACCAATTAAGACGCTTGTTTTCATCTGTTGGAGTTATTCTATTTTGTATTTCAAGCTCGAGACAATTATGCTCGTGCTCCACTTCCAAAAGAGCAAGTTCTTCAAGGTTTTCATCAGAACTTCCTTTTGGTGGTCTGAATATCACTCCGCATAAAACTAGGTGGTATATAAGCGCCGAAAGAAGAAGATACGAATGTTGCCATCCAAACTTGGTAACTAGCATCTGCATAGTTGAGAGATAAGAAGAAAAATTAATGTTTTTTTTTGTTTTGTGTGTTTTATAATCTGAACACTGTTTTGTTAACTTATTAGTTAATAAATTACTTCATAAAAAAAAAGTTAAAATTATGTAGTGCAGTCTGTGCCGGTTACAGTCGTTACGTGGTGATTTCCGAAATCCTGTCAGCTGCCGTAGTCCTACCTGGTTGATATACGGT